ATTAAGAAAAGTCCAATGTGGACTTTCGTTCGTATAACCTAACATGATCTCGCTATCCTTGAGCTCAATGATTGTGATATTAAATTCATTCAACCAAGAAACAGTTTCCATCAAAACGTTTTTACTGAATTGATAATGTAAAAACAATTTTGTTTATACTAAATCTAACATGTATATGTCAGTAGTTAAAAATTGTTTTTGGTAGGCAGGTAGCTAGTAAGAGGTGAATGGAAGCACTAATGTGTTGGTAAAAATTTGGCAGTTATTTATCATTTCAAGTTCCAATAAAAAGCTATGCATTAAAGAGAAAAAGATAAGTGATAAGTTTCTGTTAATTTTTGGGTAAAAAATTTAGTTTGGTGGTCAAAAGCCCCTCTTGTTGACCCCTGAAAAGCAGCTTATCCACCCCAAAAGACTTCAATTGATTCAACCATAGCAACATCCTGTGGAATAACAGCGAATTTGAAACTACATATATGTACAGTGTAGATACTTTCAAAAAGCATTATTTTTTTTGTCAATTACCTGTATGTATGGGAGAGTTCTTTACTCATCTTTGTGGAAGACCAAGAGGTCAAAACTTTTTCTTGGAGACTTGTGGTCGAGAGAAATGACAAAGGCATGTTATATCACTGGGCGGTGTTTGTGCATTGAATGTACACAAGCGTAATAAATATTATGCATTTACAGTTCTGTAGTTAAGTTTGTATATTAATATTGCTTGAGCAAGGATGAAAACAGCATTTATATGTTTAAATTTGCACAGAAAAAATCTAACAAGGAAAATGAACAGAATACTGTATAGCTGAAGCTGAAGAAGATTAAGAAATGGTAAGCGCGCAGCGTGCAACTATCGAGTTATGGATGCACACGGGAGGTTGCTAAGCACAAAAGAAGCGTAAGAGTCGCACGAGGCAATGGCCGAGTGCGACTCTAGCTTTATGAGTGCTTAGCAAACCTCCCAAGGGCATCCATAACTCAATAGTTGCACAATGCACGTTTACCATTTCTTTTATAACATTGAGACTTTTGAGATAGTATATATTGTATCTCGTCCGGTTTACATGAAGTCAGAAGTGCGATAAACCGTGCAAAAATGTTCATTCAAAAACCTGACAAAGTGACACATCAAAATTTTTCTAGGATCGCGGCAAGTTAATGGTTTCTTGGGCAAACAAACAATTTCAAACTGCTCAGTTAACCTAAATATCAAGCTGACAACGAAAGAAAATCGCAGTCGGTAAAAGCGTTTC